CAAAAGGTCATTAAAAAGACAGGAAAGAAAGAAAAGACCAAAATGGATGTCAGAAGAGACTCTGAAACTTGCTGTTGAAAACAGAGTTGCTAAAGTGAGTGGAAGAAATGATGAAGTAAAAGAGCTGAAAAGAAAATTTCAAAGTGGGACACAAGAAGACAAAGTAAAGTATTATAATGAAATGTGCAAAGACCTGGAGATAGAAAACCAAAAGGGAAGAATACGCTTGACATTTCTCAAGCTAAGAGAACTGAAGAAAGAATTCAAGCCTCGAGTTGCAATATTGAAGGATTCTATGGGCAAAATAGGTTGGCAGTTCAAATCCACCAGCTGCTCCTTGGAAAACCTATGAGGCAGTTCTACTCTGTCCTATAGGGTAGCTATGAGTCAAAATCAACATGACGGCAACAGGTATGGGCAAAATATTCAACAACACAGGAAGCTTCAAAAGAAGATGGAAGGAATACACAGAGTCACTGTACCAAAAAGAATTGGTCGATGTTCAACCATTTCAGGAGGCTGTTTATAATCAAGAACTGATGGTATTAAAGGAAGAAGTCCAAGCTGCACTGAAGGTATTGGTAAAAAACAAGGCTCCAGGAATTGACAGAATACCAATTGAGATGTTTCAACGAATGGATGCAATGCTGGAAGCGTACACTAGTCTATGCCAAGAAATGTGGAAGACAGCTGCCTGGCCAATCGACTGTAAGAGATCCATATATGTGCCCATTCCAAAGAAAGGTGATCCAACAGAAGGCAGAAATTATTGAACAATATCATTAATATCACACACAGGTACACCTGCTCCTCACTTACCAACACAGTTAGGTTCCAAAGACCAGGTCGTTATGCAAAAATCTGCCTTATGAGAACAAAGATGGAGTATGACCACATCAGAAAACAAAATGGAGGATAACTACATCATTACATAACTGCTAAATCACATCATTGCATAGCTGTCAAATTACATCTTTACGTAACTGGTAAACCAGTGACAATCATGGCCCAGCCAAGCTGACACATAACCTTAACCATCACAGTCAGCATTACTGTCACCTCACACTTTGGCATTCATTACTGTCAGGTATACGTTGTTAATGTGCAAAATAGTCAGATAGTAGATTATTTTACTTTTATCATAAATGTGAAATGTCAGATAACAAGATAGTCAATAAGTGAGGAGAAGGTGTAAAATTTTGCTGAAGATAACTCAAAAGCAGTTGCAGCACTACACCGGGAATTGCCAGAAACTCAAGCAGAATTCAGAAGAGGATGTGGAATGAAGATATCATTGCTGATATCAGATGGATCTTGGCTGAAGGCAGAGAATACCAGAAGGATGTTTACCCGTGTTTTATTGACTGTGCAAAGGCATTCGACTGTGTGGATCCTAACAAACTACGAATAACACTGGGTAGAATGGGAATTCCAGAATGCTTAATTGTGCTCATGCAGAACATTTACATAGACCAAGAGGCAGTCATTTAAACAGTACAAGGGAATACTGCGTGGCTTAAAATCAGGAAAGGTGTGAGTTAGGGTTGTATCCTTTCACCATACTTATTCAATCTGTATGCTGAACAAATAATTCGAAAACTAGGCTATATGAAGAAGAACCCAGCATCAGGATTGGAGGAAGACTCATTAACAACTTTAGGTACACTGATGACACAATCTTGCTTGCTGAAAGTGAAGAGGACTTGAAGCACTTACTGAGGAAGATCAAAGACTACAGCCTTAGGTATGGATTACACCTCAACATAAAGAAAACAAAAATCTTCACAAGAGGACCAATAAGTGAAATCATGATAAACAGAGAAAATATTGAAGTTGTCAATGATTTCATTTTACTTAGATCCAAAATCAACACCCACAGAAGGAGCAGACAAGAAATCATACATATTGCAATGGGCAAATCTACTGCAAAAGACTTCTTTAAGGTGTTAAAAACCAAAGATGTCACTTTGAGGACTATGGTGCACCTACCTGACCCAAACCGTGGTATTTTCAATCTCCTCATATGCATGCCAAAGCTGGACAATGAATGAGGAAGATCAAAGAAGAATTGATGCATTGGAATTATGGTGTTGCAAGAATATTGAATATACCATTGACTGCTAAAAGAACAAACAAATCTGTCTTGAAGAAGCACAGCCAGCATGCTCCTTAGAAGCAAGGATGGTGAGACTTCTTCTTACGTACTTTGGGCATGTTATCAGAAGGAACCAGTCCCTGGAGAAGGATATCATACCTGGTAAAGTAGCGGGTCACAGAAAAAGAGGAAGACCCTCAATGAGATGGATTGACACAATGGTTACAACAGTGGGTTTAAACACAGCAACAATTTTGAGGATGACACAGAACAGGGCAGTGTTTCGTTCTGTTGTACACAGGGTCTCTCTGAGTCAGAATTAACTCGATGGCACCTACAGTGCAATGAATTACTTAATATGGCCCTTCTAACCATCCCCCTACATGTTTGTCAGTTTGTTGTACTGTGGGGGCCTGCGTGTTGATGTGATGCTGGAAGCTATGTCAACAGTATTCAGATACCAGCACAGGGTCATCCATGGTGGACAGGTTTCAGTTGAACTTTCAGATTAAGACAGACTAGGAAGAAGGACCTGGCAGGCTACTTCTGAAAAAAATTAGCCAGTGAAAACTTTACCAATAGCAGTAGAACATTGTCTGATATAGGGCTGGAAGATGAGTCCCTCAGGTTGGAAGGCACTCAAAATTCAACTGGTAAAGAGGTGACTCCTCAAATTAGAGTCGACCTTAATGATGAGGATGGAGTCAAGCTTTCAGGACCTTCATTTGCTGATGTGGCACGACTTCATTTGCTGATGGTTGGAGTCCTGTGTCAACCTGGCTAGGCCATGATTCCCAGAATTATATGTTTGTCCTCCATTTTGTGATTTGATGTAAATATCCGGCACTATTTAACGTGTGTGAATCCTAGCCTCAGTGCCTGAGGTTGTTTTAATGAGGCAGGATTAGGGATATATCATGAGTCACAATCTTACTAAAGGATGTGACTCAAGTCATTGCCTTCCCAAGTAGGGGCAGTGAGGGTATTTCCATGGTTGCAGCAATAATCCTTAAATTGGAGGCAGGCCCAGTCACCTCCCGCCTTTGACGCATGAGACAGCAATTTGTTAGGCCTCTGCCAAAGCCTTGCAGCTACCTGGTCTCTTGAGCTTGAAGCCACTTGTTCGGCACCAGCCACTCCTGGGGCTGAGAGGCCTTGGGCATGCTGCCAGGCACTTCCTCAGGCGGGAGGAGATCCTTGGTGGGAGACTTTCTCTCTCGCGTCCTGGGTTGAGCCACTGGCCCCTAGGCCATTCCCCAGCTGAGCTCTGAGTACTGGGCTCTCCCCTACACCTGGATTCCAGCAGAGCCCAGACTTGATTTCTGCCCTCCTGTCACCCAGCCCCAGCCCACAGTCCATAGTAGTCAGCTTCAGGAAGATGTGAATAGCAGTGGGTCATTGCATAGGAGTGGTAATGGAAAGAGGTTGTGCAGAAATGGCCACAGAATGGCAATCAGCTACTAGCTTCTCCATCAGATGGACTTAGACCATTGTGTGGATGCAAGGAATTGTGAGACGTCTGGAGACATCTGGAATTCAGAATTAGCTGGCATTGCCATGCACCGTGGGGTATCAGAGTCAACGTTAAGACCTGTCCTAAAAACACCACATGCGGTAAATTGAGGAGGGGGCTGGAGGGTTCTGGCACTATCAGCATCACCGCAACAGTGGGTCTTCACTCTGGTGTGGCCATTCACTCCAGCAACAGCGGTTGGATCTGGTTTGCAGCTTTGCCAAGACTTCCAGACTTCCTTCACCCTGAGGGACATCAGCACCATCCACCTGGTGTCTCCCTCAGACGTCTGGTCCCAGGGCCACAGGGCCCTCCTTGGAGTTCCAGAGGCATCAACACCTGCTGAGGAGCACCCTCCTCAGATGTCCAAGTTCCAGCTCCAGGGACCCTCCTCCAGCATCTAGCTTTTGATAATACCAATTTCCTCCCTTGGTGTCCCAGCCCTTGGGGTGGTAGCTCCTTGCTGCAGTGGCTGCCTCCATGAAAATCTGGGTTATCTCTGCTTTTTTAGAATTTGTAACCTGGTCACCAGTTACCAGTTGCTGTGGAGTTGATTCTGATTCATGAAGACCCCTGTGTGTCACAATAGAACTGCTCCATAGGGTTTTTAATGGCTATAATCTTATAGAAGTAGATCGCCAGGCCTTTCTTCCAAGGTGCCTCTGGGTGGACTCCAACCTCTAACCTTTTGGTTAGCAGCCGAGTACCTACACTGTTTGTACACCTAGGACTCCTGATTACCAATTCTTTATATGAACTTCTGTTGAAATAGCTGGTGTGGGTTCCCTTTCCTGGCTAGACCCCGGCTAACATAAATGCATATGTGTGACAATGTATACTTCTACTGTTTTCTGTTGTTATGAAGCTGTCCTTGTCAGCCAGAAGTCCTTGCCAAAAGCTGTCTTTTATGTTTCCTAGAGTTCAAAGAATGTTACTATGTGCAATCATCCGTAACTCTACTTGGTTTTTTAATATTTTACTGCCCTGGTAATACTGATATGTTGACTTATTATCTGTGAGGTCACTATGGTTAGTTACTGTGATGGGACATACTTTTTCTCCATACATATGACAATGTAATAGAACTAGCAACTCTTAGCTCCTCACTTGAGAACATTTATTGTATTTAAAATACTGATAACATTTGCTGATTTTTAAATTATGTTTTTCATCTTATTAATTTTCAGGAGCTCTTTATATAGAGTGGATTTTAGACTGCTGTTGGTTATATACACTGCACCTGAGGCAAAGCAATGTCTGTGCAGAACCCCTCCTGGAGCCAGAGAAAAGAGACTGAAGCAGGACTCAAAAGATGAATGTGGACAAGTAACAAACAGAATGAATCTTTATTACTCGGCCCTCACCAGCTAGCCCTTAGGGGAACCCAGCCCCTCAGGGGATCCTGGCAATACGGAGCAACATACTTGGATGGACCTCTGGCGGGGGCACCGGGATGGTCTTGTTGGCCACCTGTTCCAGGATGCTCAGGATGGGGCCGTGGGCCTCCTGACACAGCTCAGCACCCAGGAAAGCCTCCACTCGCTCACGCCATGCAGCCAGTCGAGGCCGCCCCTCAAACAAGTTATAGCCGAGAGCCACGGGCTGCAGGGACACAGATGAGAGAGTGATGGAGTCCTGAGGTCTCCATGGGGCAGAACACAGTCACCTCCCCAGCCCCCACTTGAGTCCAGGGAGGCATAATTAGCCTCAGGGTTGCAGCCAGATATGACCCCTTGCCCTGACCTTCTGTCCTGTTGGGAGGCAGGCCAGTGTTCCAGTTCCACTTCAGCCCGTAATGAGCTGAGACTCTGGGCAAGCCCCTGGCTCTCTCTGGGCCTCAGTGTTTCTGTCTGTCTAATGGGAGTGGCAAGGGGAGGAAGGCTGCCCAGAGCCACTGCCCGACTGGCCGAGATTGCACACCTGCATCAGCTCCTCCAGCGCCATAATGTCAGCCAGGGTCACCTGGTGGCTGGCAAGGAAGGGCTTGTCCCCCAGGAAATTGTCCTCCAGCTGCTGCAGCGCCTGGTCCATTGAGGTCTGATTGCGCCGCACCTTCTCCTCGGGCACCTGGGCCCCAATGAGTGGTGCTAGCACCTGAGGGTGGTAGAGGGTGGCTCAACCTGTGGCCCTTGCACTTCCTGGTCCGAATCACCAGCCCACATAGGGCACTCCTCACCTGGGTCCACAACGGCACACCAAAGGTGTCTCGGATGCAGTTGCTGTGAAAGCCCAGGTACTCGTGGATGCGGGCGCAGGCCTGCATGTTGGGGGGGCACCAGTGGGCCTCTGTCTGGTACTTGAGGCTCAGGTAGATCAGGATGGCCACGCTGGGGCAGGTGCAGAGGCGGTGAGGGCCTTAATCCCGGTCTTGTTCCCGTTCCCCCAGGGGGTGTCTTTGCACTTGGTGGGCTCCCCTCCTGCCTCCCCCACCCCCAGCACCCTGGGCACTGCCTCCTGTTCTCCCTTCATTGCTCCCTCCCAAAGCCGACCCTTTTCTCTTTTGTCTCAGACACTAGGCGAGGCCCTCTGCTTTGCACTATTCAGAACCTCAACTCTGTGACAACCCAACAGGCAGCCTATGGAATAGAGATTTTTCCTCTTTTTTGCACTGAGGCTCAGAGTAGTTAAGTAACTTGCCCGATGCGGCACAGCTCAGAAGGGGTTCCCAGGGCCCATGGAGCCAGTCCTGTGTCTGGCGAGCCCACTGTGGGTGCTCAGCCAAGCTGCCCTTGTGGCTCAATGTGTGAGCCAGGGGTCAGCAAAGGGAGCGTGTCCTCAGTCTGCCGTGGGTCCCCTTGGCCAGGTGCCCCGCCATCACTCCTGCAGCCGCCTGACCTCTGTTCTCTTCCTGTTGGCGGCTGGGCCGACTCTGCGGGGCCTGAGGAGTTGGGAGGAGGCCCTGCCCAGCGTCCATTTGTTGAACTTACTCTTGGTCCAACATTGGACATATGTCCCCTCCTCGTCCTCTCTCCTAATGTCCTGTCACTCTGGGGCAGGGGAGGGCCTGGCACCAGAAAAGGAGGCTGGAGACAAGTGAGGGACAAGGAACGGGCCACACCACCCGTCACCTTGGACTTGCCCTAGGCTGTCCCCTTGCTGCCCTTGTGTTCTGGGAGGGCCCAACGCCAGCAGGAGTACCGTGAGCCAGGGGGGCTGAGGCTCAGGAGTAGGGGGAAGAGGGCACCTTTCGGCCAAGATGAAGTCGCCATCCTTGAGAGTGGGCACTTTATGCAGGCTGTTAACCCGGAGGAACTCCTTGCTCATGTGCTGCCCTAGGAGGAAGGGGGTCACAAAAGGTGGCAGGGCACAAGCAGCACCCCTCTGCCCTCCCTCCCCTCCAGGGTTGGGATGGGAAGGCTGAGTTTGCCCACTCATGTGTGTCTCCTTGGCCGGCCTCCTAGCCAGAGCGTGGTGGTGGCTGCCCTGCCCTGCCACTTCCTGGGGTGGAGGAACAGTGAGGGCGTTGGACACATTCAGAAGCAGCAGGGGCTGGATGAAGAGAGGTTATTTCCTCAGCACTGGGTTGGCGCAAATGGTTTGAACTCAGCTGGTAACCAAAAGGTGGGCAGTTCGAATTCACACAGGAGGGCCCATGGCATTGGGGGTGCTCAGGGAGGACAAGGCTCTGGAGGAGCCACCGGATTGAAGGGCGCTTAGGGAGAAGGGGGCTGTGGAGTGGTGTTGAGGGGCTCTCAGGGAGGAGGGGCTGGGGGGGCACGGTGCCTGTAGGATCCCTGGGAGCAGGTGGGCCCACCTTTGAGCAGCTCCACGGTGCGCAGCTCAAAGGGGATGCCGTTCCTCCTGGCGAAGATGTAGACGGCACGGCAGGGCTGGGACAGCAGGTCCAGGTACAGCTCCAGGCCCATGGCGGGGCGGTGATGACGGCAGTGGTAGCGGTGGCAACGGTCTTTAGCAGCAACGGCAGCAGACGCAGGGTCATCCCGGGAAATAGCAGCTCCGGCCCTGCCCGGTCGGTGCCCCGCCCCGGCCCGACCCGGATCCCAGCCCCGGAATGGTCCCTTGTCCCGCCCCGCTCCGCCCCCGCTCCTCGCCCCAGCCGGGTCTCTGCCCATTCGCCCGTTGTCTCACACCCCGCCGCCGGACTCCGACCCGGCTCCTCTCCAGGGTCCTGCCCCATCCCAGGTCCCCGCGGCGATCCCCGATCTCTGTTCCGCCCCGGGCGCAAGCGGCCCGCCTGCTAAGAGCAGGAGCCGGGTTTACCCCAAGCTGCGAGTGCACACTGCCAGAAGCGCTGGCCTCCGGTCGACGACATCTCCGTGAGGGGCCGGGGATTGTACCATCTCTGAAAACTCACTCTCCCCAAATCAAATCCACGGTAAGGTGGCCTCCTGTGGTTCACCTCCTGTGAGCTCTTCTTCATTTTTGGCCTCCCTTCCTTTCCTGAGAGCTCAGCTAGGCATTTAAAAGGAGGAACATTTGGAGCATTTCATAGTTGTCAAGTTTCTGAATATTTAGTCAACCATTTTGCTGGAAGCATAAGTCTTATGAATTATTGTCAAATCAACTTTTGTTTTTCATTTTATTGTTGTACTTTATGTGAAAGTTTACAACTAAATTTAGTCTTTCATACAAAAAATTTATACATACATTGTTATGTGACCCTAATTGCTCTCCCTATACTGTGACAGCAGACTCCTTTCCACCCCTGATTTCCCATGTCCATTCAATCATACCTGACCCACTCTGCCTTCTCATCTCACCTCTAGACAAGAGCTGCCCATTTAGTCTCATGTATCTACTTGAGCCAAGAAACTCCCTCTTCACGAGTATCATTTTATGTCCCATAGTCCAGTCTAATGTTTGTTTGAAGAGTTGGCCTTGGGAATGGTTTTAGTTCGGGGTTGACAGAGTCTGAGGGCCATGCTTTCTGGGGTTCCTCCAGTCTCAGTCAGACCATTAAGTCTGATCTTTTTACGTGAATTTGAGTTCTGCACACCACTTTTCTCCTGCTCCATCAGGGACTGTCTGTTGTGTTCCCTGTCAGGGCGGTCATTGGCAGAAGGTGGGCAGCATCTAGTCCTTCTGGTCTCAGGCTGATGCAATCTCTGGTTTATGTGGCCCTTTCTGTCTCTTGGGCTAATACTTTCCTTGTGACTTTGGTGTTCTTCATTCTCCTTTCCTCCAGGTGGGTTGTGACCAATGGATGCATCTTAGATGGCCGCTCACTAGATTTTAAGACCCCAGACGCCACTCACCAAAGTAGGATGCAGAACATTTTCTTAATAAACTTTGTAATGCCAATTGACCTAGATGTCCCCTGAAAACATGGTCCCCAGACCCCTGTCCCTGCTACTCTGTCCCTTGAAATGTTTGGTTGTATTCAGAAAACTTCTTAGCTTCAGTTTAATCCAGTTGTGCTGACTTCCCCTGTAGTGTGTGCTGTCCTTCCATTCACCTAAAATAATTCTTGTCTACTATCTAGTTAGTGAATAACCCTCACCCTCCTTCCCCACCATCAAAGAATGTTTTCTTCTGTGTTTAAACCTTTTCTTGAGTTTTTATAATAGTGGTCTTATGCAATATTTGCCCTTCTGTGACTGACTAAATTCACTCAGCATAATGCCCTCCAGATTCCTCCATGTTATATGATGTTTCACAGCTTCATCATTGCTCTTCGTCATCGCGTAGTATTCCATTGTGTAAATCCACCATAATTTGTTTATCCATTTGTCCGTTGATGGGCACCTAGATTGTTTCCGTCTTTTTGCTATTGTGAACAGTGCTGCAGTGAACGTGGGTATGCATATATCTATTCGTGTGACGGCTCTTATTTCTCTAGGACATATTCCAACGTGCAGGATTGCTGGATCCTATGGTACTTCTATTTCTAGCTTTTTAAGGAAACGCCAAATCAATTTCCAAAGTGGTTGTATCATTTGACATTCCCACCAACAGTGTATAAGTGATTCAGTCTCTCCACAACCACTCCAGCATTTATTATTTTGTTTTTTGGATTCATGCTAGTCTTGTTGGGGTGAGATGCTATCTCATTGTAGTTTTGGTTTGCATTTCTCCCATGGCTAATGATCATGAGCATTTCTTCAAGGGTCTGTAAGCCGCCTGAATGTCCTCTTTGGCAAAGCGCCTGTTCATATCCTTTGCCCATTTTTTAATTGAGTTATTTCTCTTTTTGTTGTTGAGGTTTTGCAGTATCTTGTAGATTTTAGAGATTAGATGCTGATTGGATTTATTGTAGCCAAAAAAATTTTCCCAGTCTGTAGGTTGTCTTTTGACTCTTTTGGTGAAGTCTTTTGATGAGCATTAAGTGTTTGATATGTATGAGCTCCCAGTTATCTAGTCTCTCTTCTGGTGCTTGTGCATTGTTACTTATGGTTCGTATTCTGTTTATGCCATGTATTAGGGCCCCTAGTGTTGCCCCTATTTTTTCTTCCATGATCTTTATCGTTTTTGATTTTATATTTAGGTCTTTGATCTATTCTGAGTTAGTTTTTGTACATGGTGTGAGGTATGGGTCTTTTTTCAGTTTTTTGCGGATGGTTATCCAGTTATGACAGCACCATTTGTTAAAGAGACTGTCTTTTCCCCAAGTAACGGACCTTCGGCCTTTGTCAAATATCAGCTACTCGTAGGTGGATGAATTTATGTCTGGATTCTCCATTCTGTTCCATTGGTCTATATATCTGTTATTGTACCAGTACCAGGCTGTTTTGACTACCAAGGTGGTATAATAGGTTCTAAAATCAGGTAGTGTGAGGCCTCGCACTTTGTTTTTCTTCTTGGGTAATGCTTTACTTATCTGGGGCCTCTTCCCTTTCCATGTGAAGTTGGTGATTTGTTTCTCCATCTCATTAAAAAATGCCATTGGAATTTGGATAGGGATTGCATTGTATCTGTAGATCGCTTTGGCTAGAATTGACATTTTCACAATGTTGAGTCTTCCTATCCA